CAGAGGCAGGGGGATGTTTCTGGATAATTCAATGGTCCAAGTGACCTTGTTGTGTGTGTGTGTGTGTGTGTGTGTATATATATATATATACTGTACTGTACATAAGAAGCGGCAACCAAAATATCCCATCAACCGAGACAATACAATTCCAACATCCGCATCCGTGCTGTGAAGCTCTCTATGTACCAACAGGGGGTGCTGTGGTAGCGGCGGTGACAGCTCCGCCTCTGCTCGTTTTTTTTTTCTGTCTTCCGACCAGCAGTTTGTCGAGCACCAGACCCTGCCAAAAACCATTAGCGTTCTCATCTCTGTTCTACTGCGACATGTAAGAGTGGAGTTCACGCCTTTGCCGGGCTGCCCTCAGAAAACGATCGCTGGCCTAACGTGGCAAAAAAAAAAAAAAAATGCCTGCAGTGACCAAAAAAAAAAAAAAATACATGAATAAATAAACGTGATGGAGGCTGAGCGAGAACGAGGCAGATGAGTAGAGAGTACCTCAAAGTTCAGTCTTTTGATCTCCATCCAAAGCTTATTTGCATCGTGCCCCCTCAACCACTCCCTGAGCCTGCAGCGCGGTTGCCACAGCACAAAGAAAAAGTTCGACATGCCTTTGTGGCAGTTGGCGGCCCTCACTGCGAGAGCGGGTGTTCCTTTAGAGGCCATGAGCAAGCTGCAGTGAAGTCTTTGAAAGGACATCGTGGTTTGTTGTTGTTGTTGGGTTTTTTTTGGCAGTTGATCACTGCCAGAGTCGTGATGTGCACACACATACGCCAAATAACGGTCACGTCTCATATCTCGCCCAAGGTAACCGTGGGAACCTGGATGTGTGACCTCAAGCTGCAAACCACCTGTGCCCTTTGTCATTGAATTTTGGCTAAGAGAGTAAGTGTCGAGTTCCATTCCGTTTATTTCGGCCTTTATTCTAAAAATTCATCCCTCTGTAATGCTATTGCAAAAAAAAAAAAAAAAAGGATGAGCATTTGATTTAATTTCCAATCAATAAGGTACAGTCCGGAATTGGAATGCCCATCACCAGTGTAGAGCACGTCGGACATCTGTTTGGGGCTGATAACAGATAAAGATGCAGTTTTATTGGAACGGGCTGACAGACGCGCATCCGACACGTGACATGAGGGACTTATGGTTTGGAAACGGCGAGGTATAAACAGTCACCACTCGACAAATGACGTGAGGTCGTACAGTTTCCCCTTCCTTCTCCGTTTGTCGGCTGCTCACCAACTGGAGTGAATGCTTGGCGCGACGCTAACTTGCACCGCACCAAGGCACGCCTATGTGCTTTGATCACTCGTGCGGTGCGGCGCGAACCCCCCTCAAACTAATCCCGGCCTCCGTGGGGGTAAATAAGACACGCCTCTAATAAGCATTAAGATGTCTAGACGCAAGTTTTTATCAGAAGATCTGTGAAGGGATTCAGTTTTGTACCGCGACGTGACGTTTACGCCATGTCGCTCAGCCCGCGGTCTCCGTTTTCGAGCGGTTAGTCGCGAGCAAAAAATGTGGAAAAACAATTTGCATATGCTCTACATGTACAATGCACATGTCAAAAGTTCAAACATTTTTGGTTAAAAAAAAAAAAATGACATGCAGTGCTTTATATTTGAACGAGTATATGGATGAGAGCCAGCTGCAGTTCTTGCTTTATGACCCAATTTAAAAACCTTGAAAAGGGACTTCCTCTCTCACACAGCCTCTTTTGTGTCCTTACGTTCTTCGAATAATTTTTATATTATTTAATCACTTTTTTTTTTTACACATAGTGATGCACTGAAGCTTCATTTGAAGAAAATTGTGAACTCGCTAATTCGTATTTTGTGCACACATTATACATGCGCAGCTGGTTTGGGGCAACCAATCAGCATTTTGTGCACGTTATATCGCCATTGGGTCAAATAACTAAAAAAAAATAACTAAATAAAATATTTTTTTAAAAATCCCCCTTCCTGTCTGGGGCTCTGTGGCTAAAAGGTGAAAATAATTGTTTCTCCACTCTTCTCACTTCCCAAACAGCTCGTACGTTGTGTTACATCTGTTTTGTAAAACTGAACAAACAGCACCCGCGGGACAGTCAGTCATCAACAATAGAACGTTGAGTGTATTTACTCAAGCGATACATCAAATCGGAAGACTGGCATCAAGTCGGAGCTCTGCGGGGCTGCGCGCGGCACACGTCAGCGATCTGTTAACCAATATTATTAACAGCCACCTTTGGGTCAACAGCTATCAACCTGTTACCTGCCGTGTGTCATTTCAGAAGGCAAACTCAGCCCGCGGCGGCTCCCTGGGAACTGTAATCCACGTGAAGTCCATTTGCATTTTAATGCGACTGTCAGATTGAGGGTCGGGAGGGAGGTAGTTGGGCGTATTTGTGTGAAAGCAGGCCAGTGTGACCACCCCCGGGGGGTTGGATGGGCCTCGCCGACGCCCAGTTAAATCGGGCGATCCCGTTCCTCCATTTTACAGTGCCATTAGCAGCCAAAATCAGCCTCTAATTAGTCTGTGTTATTTAATTAAGTCAGCCGATATGAGGCGCAGCCATTAATCATGACTAATTTACAGGGAGGCGGGGCTGAGCTCTGCGATTGTGGTCCGGGCAAGAAGGGAGCAGCTGCTGTGTGGAAATCGCTTGTACATGTTTTAAGTGGGCCGATGCAGTAATTCACATAGCCCACTTGTGCAGCTGGCACGAGATCAATTCCATTCCGCGTCGTCTTCCAATCGCCCCGTGATTGATGGACAGGCTGTCAAAGGTGTCGTTTGCTTTCCGCTGGAAATCATCCCGGATCGGATGCAGCCCCCGCTGCTGTGTGGAAATCGCTTGTACATGTTTTAAGTGGGCCGATGCAGTAATTCACATAGCCCACTTGTGCAGCTGGCACGAGATCAATTCCATTCCGCGTCGTCTTCCAATCGCCCCGTGATTGATGGACAGGCTGTCAAAGGTGTCGTTTGCTTTCCGCTGGAAATCATCCCGGATCGGATGCAGCCAGCTGCATGTAAAGAGTTGGGTGAGGGCGGGGTATGTTTGACAAGAGCGACACCCTGAACGGGATTAGAAGCCGTCGTGGTATTTACCGTTGTTAACCACGATCCTCTGTGTGCATGCGTGTCGTTCCGGCTCTAAGCCCGGGCTAATGCACAGACAAATGGATTCAAATGGCTGAATAAATAGCATGTTGTCCAATATCGGATGCCGCCTGTTGCACGCCGTCACGCAAAAGCTCCCTGAGCCGCCTTTCCCTTTATGCCCATAAACCGAATCACGCCAAGGCAGGAATTATGGCTTTAATAAGGCACAAAGAGGAGAGTTAAGTTGAAATCGTAAAGCTACAGTGTCAGCGCCAAGACGTCAGGACGCTGCCAGAGGACACGGCAGTCGGATTCTTTTAATCATCAAGTTATGATCATCATTGAGCCAGTTTCCTCGTTTTGATTTGATCATTTTCCAGTGTGCGGTATCAACTTGACTCATTGTTGCCTTTGCATGAGCAAAAACGGGTACGATGAGAAGTCAGAGACTGTAAGTAATACAAACTGCTTCTGGTCGGTCATTGGTTGATCAGGTTTACATGCCTTCAGAGTCGGTCGGGCATTCCGTACTGACGGAAGGCCCGTCAATTGGTCAGTGACAGACACCCGTTTTGCTGGCAAATGACGAATGATGGCAACCTTTAAATATAGTCCGTCGGAAGTGGGTTTTCGTCGGTCTATGGAAACATCACGAACTGGGTCAGAGTCCGTCACTTGACGGACTCCC